CTACTAAACACGATTCTTTTGGTGTAGTAAATGCTTAATACTATCTTATTATTACACAGCCCACTGACCAGGCTGTGATTTGAAGGATCAAGTTACAATTAATGTGGTTTAGTGGCTGGATGGTTTCTGAAGGGATGGTGGCAGAGGCCAAATAGTGGAAAAAAAGGTTACGATGAGTATGTCCCTGAGCTGTGTAAAGCACAGTCTGGATACAGACAGGTAGTGAAGCTTGATCCTATTATGTGCTGAGTTTTCATCCTGGTCACATACTCCCATTTTCCTTTATGAAAAGCATATGGAACGCATGGTCTGATAGGCAGAAAGGCTAAGAGAAATGCAAGTAGAGGGAGGTAACGCTCTTAGGTGTGGTAGACTAGTCTGCAGAGTGTTTTGATTCTCTGAATTAGTCAAAAGATTGAAAAAAAATAGCCACTCCTACCACAGGAAGAAAAAAATTAGAAGGAAGGGTCCTGAAAATGGTATCTGAGCAATGAAAGACAGTGAGTATTTAAAAGATCACTGAATTTAATTTATTCAACCTAAATGCATAAAAGTACAGGTGGGGACATTATTTATGCAGGTATATGCAAATCACTTTATAAAATAGGCAAAGCCCTTCTGCTTTTTATAAGTTGCCAAGGTGGTTCCTGATATTTTAAAAGCTATGCACCTTTAATGTAATTTCCTAAGAGTTGGAATCCCTCTGTTGGAATCACAGTCATTGTCAGAGCGAGTTTATTTTTTTTCTTTCCTCTGGGACTTCTACAAGCTCTCATAACTATCACAAAAAGGGTGGTTTCCACAGAGATATGACTAGAAAAATCACTTGGAAATCACTGAGGAGCAAGTCACAATGTTCAAAGCAGAGAACAGGGGCTTTGAAAACATGAACCCATCTGACCTCTTGAATTTAGTACAGTGAATTCCTGAGCTCCGAAACATGGGGCCCGGCTGTGCATGCCATATTGGTGCTATAAGACTGGCAGTAGGTTGGCTGTGGCATGGTCTATTTCAAACTCCTTCACAGTGCCCAGTGTTGCATGTTCCCAGATGACATTTGGTTGGCAGAAGCTGGGCTTCCAAAGCTGGCAGTCTGGAATACAGCCCACTATGTTTTGACAAACACATAATTGACCATCTGATCACCAGCCTACAGTCTGCATTCAGGTCACTGGGGGGACCTGGGCTTTCAATAGGTCTCTACTCCTCATCTTGTTCATCTTCTCAAACCAAGCAATATAGAGAAGACTTAAACACACCCACACATCCCCTCCCATTTGCAAAAGAGAACATGGTCCATGAAACATAAGCTGTTGAAAATTTCCTTTAAATTGTCCTGGCAGCCCAAAGTGAACAAGAGAAAAGCACATTTATGGTGAACTCTAATTCAGAAAGAAGTAAGAGACATACTGAACTGTTTCAACACCAGCAGTATATACGTTGCCATTCAGCTCAATGGCTTGAAACTTCTTAGAAAAAGACAGCATAGGAAGATGATAGGAAATCGGGTATTGCTTGACTTTAGGGGGATATTATTAAGAGATACTTCGATTTCAGGTGAAAGAAATGAAAAGCAGGACACTGGAAATGGCTTCTTCCTTATCTGCCTGACGCTCTCCCCAAATCTACTGTGAGAGAAGGAGTCACACCAGCAGGCAGCAGCTCAGAGTGAGGTCAAGTTCAAATTCTGGTCTCCTGTAAACCCCTATAAAGAGTGCTTTGGTCTGAAATTTGGCCCTACACAACACATCAACCTTTCTCCTAGAAGGCAAGGATTGTGCACTAGGCCAAGATATGCTAGCATTACGCAGATGGCAGTGTCTATGTCAACACTACCAGAGAGCCTCTCCTCTCCACTCCCATCCCCACTGCACAGTCCAGGCCCTTGGTTTTTACCTTTGACCTGGTCTCCCTTTTTTCAATCATCCATCTCTACTGGCCAGAGTGCTCTTTTTCTAAATCATAAATCTGCTTAAAATTCTTCAAAGCCTCCTCAAGCCTGCCGCATCAACATCCAAATTCCCTCACACAGCTTCCAAGACCCTCCGCAATCTGCCCCCTCCCCACTTTCCAGCCTCATCTCCCAGGCTCCCCTTTCAACCACCATGCTCCAGTCACACTGAACTACTGTCCTCCAGAGCTGGCTGCTGCTTGACACCTCTTGGCTTTGAAAAGGCTCTTTCTTTTTTCATATTATGATCCCCTTTTCTTTCCCTTCCCCTACATTGACTTAGTAAACTGCAGTTCGTTCTGTAGGCTTTTATGTGGGCAGGTGGGCACTCCTTTCTTGTTCCTCTTGCTACGTCTTGTTTATGCCTCCATTGCCATGTCCATCACATGCCACAGCCTTTATTTACTATTTATCATCCCTACCAGACTCTGAGATTCTTAGCAACAGGGAGCATTTCTTATTTATCTTGGAGTTCCAGGAACCAAGCATAGTGACTAGCTTTCCACGAATGTTTGTTGACTGAAAACTGAATAAAGAGCTGTGCATGATATTAATCAAAACTAAGCCAAACAGTAGCATTAGCTTCTATAAGCTACGCATGGAGCCTATTAGCAATCTAACGAAGGCAGAAGATTGCAGGAGTAAGGCACTTTCTGACGGTTATCACTGGGTGAAAGGCAGAGTGAGGGATAGAGGGTGTGATGGAAGAATGTCTTGTTAGCAGAGAATGTCAGTGAGGCAATGAATTTTCAGCTTTTTCAATACTGAGTTTTCAATACTGAAAGGTATTATTCTGAGAAAGAATCTGAGCCTGAACTGTAGAGAGGTCTAATTTGTAATAACTTGGTTTCTCAAATAGGCTAAGTTTGTGCTACCTGCTTTAAGGCAGTGTGGCAGGCTACAGAGGGCTCTTCTTTGTTTCTGCTAAAGAGTAATGGGATGGAAAACTCTTGGGGGGAACATCTGGAAGCTATTCAGTTCCCATTGAAATCTGTGTCAAATCCAGATTGGGACTTTGGACTAAATGCAGTGCCAGGGAGATAAGGCAAAATTCTGCACCTGACTGGAGAAGGCCATTGAAGAGGCACTAGGAGCTAGAAACACTGGGGAGATAATGTTCTGATCTGTTCCCAAGAAACTTTTCTTTTCCCTTTGATAGGTATCTGGGGCACCACCCCTGGAGCCATCAGCTATGTCTGTGGGGTACTTGAGGACAGCAGGACTGTCACAGGCCGTGTCACCCTTGAAATAAAAGCAGCCTCAGGATTTGGAACAACCCAAGCAAGCATGAAGCCTGGCCCGGGGGTGGGACAAGGTTAGTGGGTAGAGGAATGAGCTGTCAGCCCATTATAGGTCATTCTCTCAGCCCTGTCTCTGGTTAAAAACTAGGATCTCTCTAGAAGCTGCCTGATTAATGGTTGATGTAGCATAGAATCAGTTTCACATTTTCCTATGAGCCAGAAACAGCCTTTCAATTACGTTTTTATCTCAAAGGTCTCCCCCTCGATTTCTAATCTGTGACACAGGTCTCCAGTCCCCTGTACTGCTTGTGTCTGAGGCTTGCCCTACAGTGCTGACGTCATAATAGCTGAGCCGTGCGGGCAGGAGTGCACTGTGCTGACTCATCCCCGGTGATGTGAGGATTAATGCCTTGTCTAACACAGAGCTATTATGTGAACTGTTTTTACACAAAAGAACTGTAACGAAAATGATTTGCCAGTCAGAGGACTAGAAATATGCAGTGCTAGGTAACTGAAGTAGGGATGTGGAAACATAAAGTGGTAACCATAAGCATGCACACTGACACCCTCCAAAGCATTGACAGACCTGATCTATCAACACAGAGAATAAGGAATAACAAGACTTGTCAGGAGCAGGGAGGATCCACCCCTGCTGTATAAATGCATTACACACAGTCCCCAATCTCCCTTCTCTGTCAAATGGCTGTCACTTTCGACTTTAGCCTTACGGTCTGTCCTTTGGGGGATTCTGCTCTCCTGAATATATTTGCAACTATCTTCTAGGAATGTCAATGGAAGCCACACTCATGTAGGCGAGCCAGGGGAACCCCCTTTCTGTGCAAATGATTACCACACAAGAAATACCTCGGAGTGAGAAGTCAGTGAAGTAAGACAGATGCTGCGAATAAGGGACAGCGTTCACCAGAGAGTTCAAAGCAGCTGGGAAGATACTGATGATTATTTATCACATAAGGTGACTGTCCCTACCTGTAGCATGTCTCGGGTGATGTCTCATGTAGTTGAGTGACTATGATTATTTGGGTTCATTGCTGTAGAACCTCTTACAAGCAGCCCGAGGTAAAACTTACCCAACCCATTCTGTGCAGCCTGGTTTGGGCTTTAAAGAGCAAATATTCCCTCTTTTCATCTGAAATCAAGTTTCCTCTTTTTTATTTCTCCCTTTTCAAATGACTTCCCATCTTTTCTAAAAAAGGACGGTACCTTCTATAGCCCTCTTGGCACACGTAATCCCGGATTTCTCTCTCTCTCTCTTTTTTTTTTCTGGACTTGCTATGACAGGCACAATTTTAGCCTAAATGGATCAAGCCTTATAGTTCACGCTTGTACTTCTTGAGTAAAAGGGTATTGGAGATTTCGTCCATAAATGAAAGCTCTGACCCAGAAGTTGAAATTAAAAACTATTGGACCTAGAGATGGGGGTATAACTGAAGAATAAATAGTTACCCACTGACTGACAGTGGAGCAAAAGCCTGACTGTTGCAGATATCTGGCTGAAGCATGTAAGCTCTAGTGGAGAGGAGCAGTGACTTCTGCAGACAGCAGCTGTGACTGAGTAAAAGGCAGTCTTTATAGACGTCCAGTGCGTGAGGCCCCGGTCTTTCCAATCCCCTCATGGATGGCAACTACTACCACCACCAAGAGCACCGATTCCAAACCCAAAGGAAGCTAATATATAGCGCAGAAGTGCTGGAAACCACAACAAAGTCAACCAGAAAACATGCCAATAAAGATCCGAATTTCCCAAATATGACGCCTTCTTGAAAAGTAAAGAAACCACTTTTACTTACATAAAGAGAAGGGGCAGGCCACAGACTGATGGTCACGGAACTGGAAAAACAAAAACAAAAACAAGGAATTAAAAATAAACCCAGTGATACTGTAGGGAGAAGGAAAACCAATCTAAGTCATAGACAGAACTGGTTGCTCCTGAGGATGGGCAGTAGGAGCCTATTTTATTACCTGTAGCCCAAGAAAAAAAAGAGATCCAGCCCCATAAAATTTTCCAAAGGTGTAATCTCCTGCTATATGACCAACAGTATTTCCAGGCACGAGGAGTGCCAATCTCTTTCTTTGTAAACTTCATTCTGATCTGAATTATATGGGTATTTTCTAGAGCTGTGCTCTTTAATACAGTAGCCACTATCTATACTTATCTATTTAAATTAGTTAAACTTGAATAAAAAAATGAAATATTTAGTTCCTTAGTCACACTAGCCACATTTCAAGTGCTCAATAGCCACTTGTGGTTGGTGGCTGCCTTAGAGGTAGAACATTTCTATCACTGCATAAATATCTATCGGGCAGAACTGACTAGAATAGGTAAAATCTTTACTGTGTAGTACAGGACAAATTTTAACTAATTTTGACAAAGATGAATAAAACTCTGATAAACTTTGGCTCTTTTAAGGGTAAATTCAGAATGTTTAATGCCCAGAAGATCCTCTAGACAGATGTAACACCTACATGCATTATCGCCCCTCAGCTGACAACCTGATGCGATGCAGCCTCAGGTTGGCTTGGTGCAGACTGAGGACCATATACCGCCTCCTCTGCCCCTTCTCTCCAGCCCAGGAATGTCCCCTCCGACAAAATGATTTTAAGTGAAAACATCTGTCTCCCAAAACACATCTCTAATGATGAAAACCTCAGGTTTGCAGGGAGTTGATCTTAACAGTTTCTCCTTCTGTATTTCAAATCAGATAATTCTCCTTTGTAATCTTAGACTCACAAGCCAAATAAGCTATGATGGGACTGGCCTGCTCACCACTGTTTTGACAGCTTCTCTTATAGAAAAATAAAACAGAAGTAACAGAAGATCCATGAGAGATTAATAAACCAAACAGGGATACTGAAAAAACAAAGCAGGTCTCTCTACCCACACCCCACTCAAATATAACAAGGACTCAATATATGCTGATTGAATTCTTGCCTCTCTGACACCATGATTTTAACCACTTCATAGAAGGCTTCCAGAAATATGCGAAACAAATCATACTAAAAGAGATCAAGTAGAAGCTTGTGATTATTTAAGTTAGCATACAATAAGGCTAAAGCAAACACAAACAAACCTGTCAAAGAGATTTCACTTCTCAACAAGTTTTCTAGACAAGTGCACTATCATAGAGGTTCCTCCAAAGGAAAAGTTTGCTCTTTATCACCTATGGGAAACCCTGTCCATGCACATGTAAGTGTGAAGGATGGTGTTGTTCCCCTCCTTGAACAAGAAGAGTTAAGATGAAAATCTGCAGCCTGGATCACAAGGTATGCTAACACAAGAGAGGCTGGGAGTCTCCACTGCTTTCAATTTTTTTCACAAAATTGATGAAAACTTTGAAAAGTTTAATGAGAACTTTAAGCAATATAATTAGATTATGTATGATTCATTGAAAGTACATGCAAACTTGAACTATATATAAAGATTGACTAGTCTTCAAAGACTTTTAAGTTCTAAGTTTTGCTACATTCTAGTCCCTTCTACAAGCCAGGATCCTAGACCATTGCACCAGTCTATTTTTTAAATCTCCTTTCTTCCTTCCTCCCTCCATCCCCCCTCCCTTCCTTCCTTCCCAACTTTTCTGAGCTTGCTTTTTTCCCCAACCTTTGGGAAAAAGTATAAAATGTGATTAGTGGTTATCTATGAAATATGCTCACTTATCATTTCTCTGTTGCACATTATAAACCCAATAACTCTCAATAATACATTACGCTTTTTTAAAACTATACTTAGCATTTGTGTTCTTATATCTGAGCACATAACTTTCCTTTTCAAATTTCAAGGAGCATTTATTCATAAAAGTTAATCAGTCAAAGTTAAATTTTTGATGTGATCAAAAGAGATCAATGTAAATTATACCCAGATTGACTAATACATTCAAGGTCTGGAATGAAGAAGAAATATCTTTCCTGGATGTCAAGTGACACACAGGCTGTCAATGACAGGAATCCAAGATGGAGAGAAAAATCACAGTGTGTATGTCACAGTCTAAGACAAATTAAAGCCAAGTTAAATTGACGATTTTATTGGATATAATTGTTGTCTTTATATATTAATGAAAAACAATAATACCTATCCCAAATTTAATATTAAGGCTAAAAATTTAATCTCAGAGTTCTTATACAATTTATAAATGTTCATAAACATCAAAAGGCCCCTACTTCTTGATTGAATTACAATCTGCAATTTTGAGAATATGTATTAATCTACATGGGTTTATTCCTCTTCAGTTCAAATTGTTATTTTATTGATATGTGTGCCCTTTCCGCCTAAGTGATATTCACCTTATATGTCTGTAAGTTGTTTTCATCTGAAATGCAAAGAATTATCCATGATAGTTTTGCATACGATGAAAAACATTTGCATTTAGCATGCTAGGCTCGAAGCATAAATATCTAGCAAAGAATATATAACTGTAAAGCCCAAATGAATCAGGACCTTAAAACATGGTGGGGGAGGCAAGAGTAGTGGGGAGGGGTGGTTTATGGTAAAGTCCAATTGTGTTCTGTGAATTCCCAGTAGAAATTATTGTATAGTATCAATCTCTAAGGAACCAAATGTATTATTAATTAAATGTATTATTAATAAAGATTAGTCAATTCTGATTTCAGTTTATGTAATGTTCAAGGGCAATGGTTTCCAACATCTTGAGGTGATACAGATCCCTATGAGAATCCCTCCCCCAAAAAACTTCTTAAAAACACCAAGTTTCAAGAATCTTCCAGACTCCATGAAGATCATCCACGAATTCCAGTTTAGCCACCCTTGGCCTAGGGGAGAGGGGAGAAAATGCCCATGCAATCCCACTGCTTAATCACCTCTAGGAAGCTGAACAAGTCACTATGACCTGGAGCCAGGAGCAAACAAATGTATAGGAAATAGAGCTCTACATGGGAGCATGTGGCTAGGAACATAGAGACTCCTCTAAAGGCCTCCCAGACTCTTGACTTACCCAGTTCTTTACAATTTCTTTTTTTAAAAAAGTCCACAGAGGCTTAGGAACAGTGAGGAAGAGGAGTAGTGAGCAGAGAAATGAGAGGAGTTGCTATTTACTCAGCACCTTCTGTGGCTGCAGGCATCCTGCTAAGTAAATGCTTCTCAAATTTGAATGTGGATATACCCAGGGATGTGGAGCAATGTTAACAGGAGTGCACCAGGCTACAGAATCCATACTAAAGACATGGCTGTCTTCTTGGAGGGTCAATTGTCCTTGTGGCTAAGCAGTTTAAACTCTTTTATTTGTACATACATTTATTTATCTGATAACTATTTCTTGGATGTTATAGAAGAAATAAAACAGCCACTGTTCTTGTCCTCATGGAATTTCTGGTTCAGTGAAACAAGTAAGAGCATATTGAGGAGTAGAATGCAAAATGTGCGTGTATCTGTAGGATGAGCCCTGAGACCTCACTGAAAAGTCTCATGTGTGGCAGACTGCTTCAGGCAATGGCCCGCACCCTGAGGACTGACTGGACCACTCACTCTAACCTGAGGATCACCTACACGGAAGAGTTTGAAAAGCAGCATTAGCAGTAGATCATTTCATCCTGACTAGAAGAGCAAATACCGTTACTTTCCAATTTACTATAGAATAAGGGAGATTTGAGAAATTAGGAAACTTACCCCAAATCCCACAGCTGCTGGGACCTGAATAAGTTTGTACCATTCCAAAGTCTACATATTTTTAACCACTAAATTACACTACATCTAGGTATTTCCCATTTTATTTTTCCCCTTGAAATGAGGGCTCATTCAGGATTTTGTAGGCTAGTTTAAGCTTCTCCTGTGGAAGGAGACAGGTTTGGCTTGATTTGTATTCTAAATATTTCACAGTGCTAAGGGAAAGCTATTATTATACCCATTTTATGGTGCGGAAGCTGAGCCACTTGCCAGCCGAGGTATTTGGCTAGGTTAAAAACGGAATCGGGTTGTCAGTCTTTCATTCCTCTTGACTGACTGAAGCCTGGGCAGTAGTACTGTCCAAGGGCTTTTTTGTACATGGGATTCATACCGGTGGAGAAAGAGTGAGAGAAACTTTGCAAAGGGAAAATAATAGTGCAATACAAAAATGGAAAATAAGTAATATAACTCACTCACAAAAATTGGTTACTTTTAGCACTGTGAATAGAAAAGAGAGAGCTTATTCATCACAAATGAATCAGAAAATTAGAATGTGTCACAGCATTGATGACAGAGCTGAGGAATTCAGATGAACTGAAGTTCAACACTTATCCTTCTATCTGAAGAGGGTAAATGGTGTGACAACAGGGCAGAAATGACCTCTTACATGCGCCTTTAATCTTCCAAATCTTTTCTCTTCAACCCTCTCTCTAGAAGTTAGGTGGGTTTCTATCTTTGTTTTCTATGGGTAGAGATAACATTTTAACATCCTTTTAATGTTCTAGAAGTATTGTGTTAATTAATTCTTATGTGGGAGTCATTCCAAATAGTAGGATGAAGATTTTTACCTTATTGATTTCCCTAATACCTTTCTGGCTTCCGTGTTTTCGAAGGCTGAGGCACTATTGGATTTTTAGATTCATATGTCTCTCAGAATAAGTGCCAGCTTCATAGGTTCCTGTCAATTGATATTCCATCTTCTCTATGGATACATGATTTCCTTCATCTGACAGATTCAAGAAATTTTATGCTAGATTTAATGACATTTCATGTGCCCTGAATTCAGAGGTTTTTAATTCTCTATTTTCTGTCTGGCAAAAGGTTTACAAGTTAAAGTCAGATGGAAGGGTTATTCGATGTGCATACAGAGCATGTGCAATCTCCCACTAGCTAGATTTTGGGGTCTCTTGAAGTATTTTCATTCCTTTTGGTC